TAAATATGTCATTTTAACTTAAAAGTTAACACCGTCAAATAATTACATTGACAAGGGGGTCAGTGTAATTTCTCAAATGTGAGGAAAAAATTGTAATAAACATAAACCTCAGGGGAGTGTCAGTGTAATTTATCCTAATAATTTTTAAACCTTTTTATTTTTTTTATAAATAAAATTAACTTTTTTGTATGTGTCCAAACACCCACTTAAAATCATATCCTTCTTTTCCTACCAATTGAAAAATGGGAAATAGACCCTCATAAATGTACATGTATGTAAATAAATATGATTTTTGTATAAGATTCTGGAATATAATTTTTTTTTAAAATTTTTTATTTGAACGAGGAAAAAAGGAAGTTTTGTGGGGGCATCATAACTTTTGCGGGGCCTGGCCTCGGTGTAGTAAGTTGATGGCTAGATTTAACTCAACCCGTAAGAAGGGATCCTCCATCGGGATAACCGTGTGCTCTACACACCCCCAAGTTTTGAACCTAGACATCTTGCGTGGAAGGAGTGTGTAGAACCACTGGACAATCACCCCTGGTGGAGTAGACTGATACAACTTTTATTAGTTTTTCATTTCCAATCAACACACCCATTATTATCCCTATAATTTCAAATTGTTCTTGATTTATTTTTTATATAAAATTTATGTATACAAAACATAATCATATATATAAATATATATGATTTTGAATTGAATTGAATATGATTATAGGTGAACATTATTACAAAACTGTACTGGGGTGATGCTAGAGAGAGGCTTTGTGAGGCTGTTGAAGATCTGAAGTTGGACTCTTTGGTCATGGGAAGCAGAGGACTTGGCACCATCCAAAGGTACCCTCTCTCTCTCTCTGTTATACATATAGGAATGGCAATGGGGGGCAATGGGGTGGATATTAATTCCCCATCCCCATTCCCCTATAATAAATTTTCCCCATTCCCCATTCCCCATGGGTACCACCCTCCCCATTTTTTAATGGGTATGGATTTTCCCCAACCCACTTTAACATTCACATTGGTAAGAATGTAAAATTGGCCCATGGCCCGTGGGCGGTCC